TCAAAGCCAGTTCCTCAATGACAGCTCTTCAAACCACCCCCGCTAGAAACAGTTGGAGCAGGATTCTTAGGGCCCAGTTAATTTTGCAAGCTTCCAAAATATCGATTTGGGTATTGACATGGCAAAGACCTCCCTCCACCCAACGAGTTTCAAACTCTTCAAACCCATCCGAGTAGAATCTAAAGGCACTCATGAAAATGGCAACTGTCCCCTCCCCAAGCAGACAGCACACCAGAGCCCCCAGAGATGCAGGAGCCCAGGGACAGCATCTGCAGGGGACAACAGTGAGGTGGTTATGTAGATTGGGGGATGGGATCTGGGGATAGTGATTGGCAATGCCTCTGAAGGCTTGAGCTGCAGGTAATGAAGAAGAAAGCTCTGGCTGAGCAAGCAGTGGCAGCTGTCTGCAGGCCCTGCATCTGAAATGGGGGTGTTCTCTTGTGGACCCCCTTCCCTGGCACTCTCCAATAAGGACACTCCACCACAGTCTGGACTCCACGAAGTCCCTATTAGAACTTCGCCTTCATTTCCACTCCTTGACTTCTGCTAACACTCACAGTGACCATGCTAGTGCAGAGTTTCACTTGCCTGTCTGCAAAAAGAAGAATGTTAACTGCTGTCTCTCTGTGGCCTCGAAGCTTCGAGATGACTAACGACAAAGGCAGAATGTCTGTACATTGATTTTTAGTGCAGGATTAATGTCTGTACATAATTATTTTTATCATGCAGGTGAAGCAAGAAATTAAAGCAGGCTTCTTAATGGGGGGGAGAAAGCAGTGCCAGAAATGAAAGATCACAGGGGAACGTGAGCAGGTCACCTGTTTGCAAATACTGTTCCTGCTGAATTCAGGTGCTTGTGGCTGGCAGTGCGCTCACTGTGCCCTCCCCCCATGCTAGACAGGTCTGGTTCTCCTCCCTCTTGGCTTCTCGAAAAGGCAAGTTCTGCAGGATCTTCCTTTCTGTCTGCCTGAAAAACCCAGTGGGAAACTGATCTTCATATGGAAGAGAGGGGATTGAGTTTCTGCTGTTTTATTTTTATACTCACTGCTTTAAACTCATGGGTCCTAGGGAATCAAACTCGTGTCACAGTTCCAGGTGACCCAGTGCCTCTCCAGGCTGGGGAAGCCTCCAGAGCCCCAAACTTCTCTCAGGAAGTAGTCTCTTCCTATTGCTCACCATTTTCAACTCACAGGCTGCTGGGAAGAGCCTAGGAGTCAGATTTTCACTGCCCAGAGGACCCGCCAAAGGCAGATTTCTCAGGCAGTACCTACCTGGGGACACAAGTGGGGCAAGTAGAAGGTTTCAAGGTTCAGCTGTACTACGACTCTCAGTCTCCAGTATGCCACAAGAGACATGAAGCCACTTGTGTCGCTTTCATTTGCTGCAAGTCAGCCCAGGGCATAGAGATGTGGCTGTACCAGGCCCTAAGCTTGCCGGAGACCCCTGCAGTCAGGTTCCAGTACCCACCTGCCCATTGCACAACACAGGCCTGAGAAAAAGAATACACGAAGAGACAGAACTAAGAGAGAAAGTGGGGTGCCAGGATGACCAATGCAGTTGCAACCAACAAAGGCACTGGACAGTCCCAGGCACTCACTTTTATTGGCAATCAATTGGAGTAAGGGCGACATGTGGTTTTTATGGAAGTTAATGTAAACAAGGCTCATAAAGTTCAAGACAAAGCATTTTCAAATTAGGAACAGAACAGACAAAATATATGATCGTAATTGGAACATTGTCCTTTTAGTCTGAAGGTTTTAGTTGTGGGAACAGAATTTGGGTGCGAGTTATTCTGACCTCAGCTGGTAGGCTTTAGCCAGACTCACTTCTATAAACAAGCCAATTGTGGGGTTAACTCTTTACAGCCTGCCTTGGGCGTAATCAATATTACAGTCCTCTGCATGAGCTGGCATCAGCTCCAAAACCAACCAGGACCCTTCCCTCACTCCGGGCCACTGCTTGGGTAGATACCAGGAGGTTGCCCTTGTCCCCAAGTCCTGACTTTGAGTCACAAGCTGGAAAAGGGGGTGGCTTCAACCTACAGCCCAGCTCGTTGACTCAAGGTTGGCTTTCCTTCCTAATTCTAAAGTTGGCCTTTGGATCAGTTCTGCCTGGCAAGTCTCCCCTGCCTCCCCTGCTTCTCCTGGGGCAAAAGTGTGTCCCTTCCTGGGCTCCAGGTCCCTCTCACATGGAGCTCTGCCACCCTCAGGGGCCCCATGGTCGTCCTGTTTGCATAAAAATCATGTGCTGTCCTCCCTCCCCTCCTCACTCCTAGTGGTCGTATGACAGCCAGGGCACGCACAGGTCTAGGGGAGACCATGCTGATCTAGGAATCCCCAAGCAGGGGTGCATAAGGGTGACCACTCCACTTCACAACATTCTCCAAGGGGTCCCATCCCCTGCCCGCACCCCAGCAGGGCCCTTCGGACTTAACATAGTGAACAACCAACTCCTAGGCAGCTGCCCCCTGAGAAGCGCAGCCTGGGCCTGGGTGCAGCAGGCAGGAGCAGAGGATTTCTGGGGCCTACCCTGTTTTGCCAGCTTTCCCCTCCTGACCTCGAGTTGGCTCCCTCCTACAGCTCCATGACTCTCCCTTGGGAGATGATCATGGATCCCCCTGGAGAGGCCAAGGAAGCCCTTCAGGAGCCCCTCTACAGGGGACAGTTAGCCAATGTGTTTTACAGGGATGCACCATAGGCCCCAGGACAGCAGCCTCTGCCTTTCATGGTCTCCAACTGCAGGACTGGGAGGCACTGAGTCAGCCCAGGCCGAAGCGCTTTCTGGAATCTCAGAGGCCTTTCGAGGAAGCCACTGAGCACTGGGGGTGAGGAGCACTAGATGTTGCCTTGGGGGAAAGTTGGCAGGCGAGATTCTGCTTCTAAGTAACCTTTGCCTCAAACACCAGCTAGCTGTCTGCCTGGAGACTTGCCTTTGGTCACATGTCACCTCCCAGAAGATGTTCCACTTTCCAAGCAGGTGAAAAATGAACCCGATTAAAAATAGTAGAATAGACTCTTCACAGAGCCCTCTTATAAAGCAAAACTACTGGGGATGCCTCCAAGTAGGAGAAAGGAAATCGTTGCCCCTCAAGTCCCCAGCTCTGAGAGCTGATCACCTCCCAGCAGCACCCAGAACCAACACGGCACAGGGCCCAGGATGGTCACTAGGCTGCACCACAGCAACAAGCAGGGCCTTTGGGTCATGGCCATGGCTACTTTTGCTATCTAGGAGCATCTTGGTGACCAGTGACACAGTGTCCACTCCTCTCCTGCCTTCCTTCCTCCTCCCTCTATTGCTTTATGGACCTGGGTTTCTGGCACTGTCTCAAAACCATGGACACATTCCCAGTGGAAATCATGACATTTTCCATTTCACATTATGCTCTCCACAATGCCTCAGGAAGAGAGAACCAAGCCAGAGAGAGAGGGAGGGAGGGAGAGAGAGAGGGAGAGAGGGGGAGAGGGAGAAAAAGAGGAGAGAGAGAGAGAGAGAGAGAGAGAGAGAGAGAGGAAAATAGGGCCCAGGAGCCAGCCCCTCTCTGGCCCAGCCTGCTCAAGGGCGGCGCTGTCCTGTTTATCCCGGAGTCACCTCTCAGGCTGGGCAGCGTCACAGTGGACTCAGTGTTTTCCTCCTTCCTTGCAGGCCCATGGATGAATAGGTTAACTGCCTTTCTCTCTTCTCCTCTGGCACATCTGGATAAAGGCGTGCCTCTCCACTTTGTTGTGTTTTTTTAAAACTTTACTTTCCACTGCCATGGTAACCGCTGCATGTTTGGCAAAGGGAAAGGGGGGCGGGGGGAAGCTTGGGAGAAGAAAAGGAGCTCTCAGCGCAGGGCTGGCTGCCATCCAGGGTAATCTTGCCGCAGAGCTGAAATGAGGCCTCTGGCGGGCAGCCAAGTGACAAAGAACAAAGCTGTCAGTTCCTAATGTTGGCGGCAAAGCTTGTTTGGCACCCTTATATGGTTTCCCAGAACTCCCTGCCTTGGCTGCCATCCATTCCCTTCAGGGCAGCAAACGGGATTAGCACAGCTCTGAGTTGTTTTTCTCCCCTCTGCTCCAACTGCTCCGGTGACATCATCTCAGCTGCCTTCCTGTGCCAGCAGGGTGGCTGTTTCTCTACGTTCCACCTCCCTCCTCCCTCTACTGCCTCTCTTCCCCTCCCTCCTAGCCTCTCTCTCTCTCTCTCTCTCTCTCTCTCTCTCTCCCACATACACACACACCTCCTCTCCCCCTCACTTCCTGGGGCCACCCCCTCGCCCCTGACTTTCTTTAAACGAAATGTTTTAGGTCATTCTTCTTGTCTGGCTTCTCTGTTAAATTAAAAACACCCTGGTGCTTGCACATTTAGCTGAATCAAGCCAGACGCTGTATTTTATTTTTATAACTGAATTCCTGTGAGATAAAAATCTCATTTTCCTTAGCAGGCTGTAATCAGCACTCACAGGGATGTGGTTTCCAACGGCCCCATCTTGTGCTTCCTTACGAAGCTCCAAAGCTCCGCTGAGAAATGGACTTGGCTTCAGTTCAGGTTTAAAGGGTCCATGGCTGGCCACATGCTGGTGGTTCTCACACACACGCACGAGCACGCGCACACACACACGCACGAGCACGCGCACACACAGAGAGGATGTGCACACAGAGACCATTATACATGCACACACATACACACACAGAGACACACACACACAGAAGCTCTGGTCAGGGAGGTGCTCACAGCTACAAAAACAAAGGGCCTGAAGATACCCACCAAGCCAGTTGGACACACAATCAGTACACGGTGTCGTTCTGTCCCTTTCCAGAAGGAAAATAGGTGAATCAGTCAAAGCCAAAAGCTGCTTCCGAAAAGACTGGTTTAAAGAGCAGGCAGGAGAGCGTTATGCAACTCATGGCTGAGTTCATGAAAGGAATCGAGGTTTACCGCCTGCACAAATGGTCCCCGCCCTCACCCGGCCCCCCACCCTGCCTCACTCTGATTCATGAACTAGTTTTCAGATTCATGAATCACTTGGGAGCCAGCAAGAGAAAAATGAGTAGTATTGATCTCATTTCAATTGAAACGGGCCAGTAGGGCTGTGCCAGCTGTGGATGGCTTCCTGGGGCCTGACACTCTGAGGCTCTGTGGTCTGCAGCCAGCGTCCAGCCTGAGGTGGGCCAGTTTCCTTGGGTGCAGCCACTGTGCTGGGTGCCTTCACCTTATTAATGGGCACAATATGACCCTGGGGTACAAGGGACTCAGGTAGGACGCTACTGTCCTCTTCGGGGAGATCAGTGACTTTTGATGGTCTCCATTTATGTTTTATTCATTTAACTCATTTTTTGAGACAAGATCTTACTATGTACCCCAGGCTGGCCTTGAACTTGTGATCCTCCTGCCTCAGCTTCCAGAGTACTGGGATAACAAATGTGCACCATCACACCCAGCTTCTATTTATTTATAATAAAATATTTTAAGGTACATCAGTGGAATTTCTTTTCCAGATTTCTGGTGACTTTCCAAGGACACCTGAAGTAAAAATTCATTTTCTAAGCCAACTAAAATGCCTTGGATTTTTTGTTTGTTTGTTTGTTTTTTGAGGCCAACAATGTAGCTCCCCACCACCACAACTTTTACCTCTTTACACAGGCTTCGGCCAAGAGAGATCCAGAGACGAACAGGATACAGACTCAAGGTGAAGATAATCTGACTTATGGAAGGTAAGGTTATCCACCACCTGGACGGTTATCTTCAGGTGCACACAGAGATCTGGGATCTGTGACATGTGCCCCTTGCCCCAGCCCTGCCTGGTGCTGAGCAGATCACAAGAGGCTATTGGCCTTGATCTGCTGCTTCCAAATGGGTTTTGGATGGTTTCATCTTCCAGTTTCCCCTCCAATCCCCACTCCAGCCCTGGGAGATTTAAGACAATTGTCTGGACACATGCTTTTCAGAAACCCTACAAAAGCTGGCAACTGGCACCAGGAAAAGATTCCATCCTAATCTGCATAATTCTGGGTCCAAGAGTCAAGAAACCAGATTCTTATCCATCTACTCAGACACATCGACTGCCATTAGATGCATTTCACTTGGCAGGGATTCGAGGAGGTGACCTTACTCCCTTTTATTACTGCAGTGCCCACAGGAGCTGGGAGCAGCCCAAAGAAGGGAGAGAAGATGTGTTTGTGTGAATTTCAATCAGCAGTGAGTCCAGAAGCAGGAAAAGCTGCTTCGCCTGCCGTAAGGTCTGCATGAAGGTGCCTTTCAATCTGTGCAGCAGAAAATTCTTGGGCTAAATCTGCAGTCCCTGGACCTGCTGGTCCCAAGGTTCAGAACCCCTCTTGCAGGCCTGCTGGCTGGCCCAGAGCAAATGGGAAGAGTGGTTTGGCTCATGTTTTGCATTAGCACAGTTGATTTTTCCAGTGCAGCCCAACATTCTGTGATAAACCTGAGTCGCTAAGAAAGCTTTATGTAACTCACACCCAGCCGAGCTTCTCAGAGACTCAAACGTTGTTTTCAGAGTTACCCATAGAACTGGCAGCACATCAAAACCTCTGTTTCATAACAGACTAGAAATAGGATTTTCTAATGACATGCCGAGCACTGGACTTATCGTGTGGGATCAGGACTTTTATGAATTGTTAATGGTTAGCTAAACAAAGACCCCCCCAGGATGCCCAACCTGCTCCTGGAGGGTCAGGATGGAAAGGGAAGTCTGAAAGCCACTTTCTGCATCCATGATCTGCTCGTTAGTGACCTAAGGCCCTTTTCAAACAATTTCCTAAATAATCTCTAACATATTGAGGCTCTTACTAATATTTTTTTTAAAAAGAAAAAGAAAAAACTACCTTCCTCCTGCTTCCTCCTTCATTCATGGAGAATGTGGTTTCCTTTGATTTTTTTGCCAGACACACTGACAGTTACAGACTTAATCCCCTAGCTTCCTTTTGGGGGAGCGCAACTTCTCTCAAACTTTGGGGGATCAGAGACCAGCCACACCCTTGAAATTCCACTCCTGGAGTAGGAGGTGAAGGAGGGAGTACAGAAGAAAGGCTCATGAGGTTGTCAATTGCCACCCCTCACCCGTGCGCCAGGCCCCAGCTCAGCACCCATCCCCATCCAGTCAGTTTAGATTATGACAGGGAAGGGAGTTCCCTCCAAACAGCCATTGCAGCCTATTTAGGTGCTGCTCTGGAAAATTCTTCCTAAGGCTCTAATGTCCCTTTGTTCCCTTTCGTCACCTTGCCCCCACTGGTATGCCTAAGCACTCCTTTCCAGCTCTACATAACCTGTGCTTAAAATGCCCTCCTTGTGCAGATGGTCCATGGGCATCATATCAACACAGAAGAAGCCCTTTTCATTGCCCATGGAGGATGGGAGGACTATCCAAAGTTCAGTGCAGCATTCTGTGGAGGGTGGGGGTTCAGCATCAGCCAGGTTGACCTTTGGGAGAGCCCCATGATAGTGGCTTCCGTGGGCCCTCTCGTTCTCCCTGAGACCCCACCTCTCTGACAGTCTCCCCTAGGACCCTCTCTGGGCTACCTGAACAACCCAGGGGACCCCTGGTCTCCTTGATTGGGACTTGAGCTTCCACTCAGCCAGGGCTACCAAACCCTGCTCAACCTTTAGCTCTATCTCCCTGTGCTATGTCCCCACCTGGGACTTATTGTCATCTTTCTTTCCCGGTCTCCTCAAACAATTATGCTTTCTACATCTCTTCTTCCTTCTTGCTATGGAATACTGAACCCCAAATGTGCCACCCAGGGTTCTGCAAGATACTTCTCACTCAGCTGGTTATTTCTTCCATGACTGGATGCATCTTTTCTCCCATCTTGCTGGGATCTACAACCCCTTCCCACTTAGTTGTCTGCAATTTTAATTGACCCTCTCTTTATCCTTCTTGCTGGATTATTAGTAAAAATGATAAAGAAAAGGCTCCTGTCCCATCATGCTGTTCCTGACACCCAGTGAAGGTCCTGGGGAGCATGCCCGACATCTGTCACCCACACCAGAACTCGTGAGCAAAGGCTGGCAAGGAAAGGAGCTTCCCTCCCTGGGCTGAGCTTGAATAGCCTTGAGATCTATTTAGTGCCTGGACACCTGGTTGCTATGGAGATGATTGTCATAAAAACACACCGATTTGTGGAGAGATATAAAGCTGAGCCCAGAGGTACACAGTCAGACACATTAGCTCTGAGAAGCAGCAAGCTGCTTATCTCTTCCCTTTGTTGATACAGTGCCTCTGCCTTTCAAATCCAACCTGGGTGACCTTCTTAGAACCAGGCCAATGCAGTCCATTTTCAGTTAATATTTCATAAGGGACAACCAAGGGCTTTGCCAAATGCCAGATGTCCCCTACTTCCCAGTCCCAGGCTGAGTCAGCCAAGAGATCATTCTTCCTTGGCATAGCATGTTCCTCACTGCCTGCCACTGATGCACAGCAGCTGAGAGCCAGGCTGCAGATCAGGTGGCTGGTGGTGAGTGACATGTGCCATGAGGGAGCTTCCTGATGTACTGCCCAGCTCACAGAAGCTGAAGCTGAAAGGGATGCAATCCAGGGAGGAGGATAGACTGCATCAGGACTGGGTGATTCAGTAGGAGTCACCTACAAAGTATGCAAGGGCATCCTTAGCCCTCTTTACCTCTTCTTCCTTTAAATTCTCCAGACATACACAGTCCCCCATGGTGTGGGCCATATGCAGAATCCAGTAACACACTTCACCCCTCAGGCATATGTGGACCATGCAGCGTGGCACACATTCATTTTGCAATTCTCAAAGGACAATGGGGGGCCGGGGATTTAGCTCAGTGGTTCTGCTGCCTGCCTCGAAACTGCAAAGACCCAGTTTCAATCCCCGGTACCAAAAAAAAAGGACAATAGGACTCTTGAATGCATCTGAGTCAAGGGTTAAAAGAATGATTTGGGTTTTAGATTTTTAGCTGCACCATTGGCTGAGTATAACTTGGAACATGGCTGGGAAAACCCAGCTGTGGCAGTGATGGCATTATGAATGTGGGCAAGATCTGCTTCCATGGTGAGTCCCAGTACAAGAGGCTGCCACCAAACAGTAAGGCCCCTATCTAGAAGGCTCACTGACACCTGATACTCAGGCCAGCCTCTGTGTTCTTCCTTTCTTTTCCCTTTAGAGATGTGAATTGTAGAAAACAGGTCATAACTTAGTCACCAACTTGTTTGATCTTCAACAATTCCTTTGATTACCCAGTGGCTTAGTTTTCTACTGGAAGATGTAATTTTGTTTCCAACTCATGTCCAGAAAGGCTTTAAACATTTTTCTGCTTTAGTCAATCCTATCACATTGTAACTGATGGAGGAAGTAAAAGCCAGATCCAGACTAATACGATGAAGCCTGGATTCAAACACTTTTGTTTACAAACAATTTGGTTCACAAAAAGAAGCATTTGGCAAAATTTTGGTCTTGTTTGGGAACTCTGCATTGGGTGATGAACACAACTGTGGCCATCTTTCCTACACTAACATGAACATAGCCATCTTTTCCAGAATCGTGGAAAGAATTAAGTTTGTGAACCAAGGTACCACTGTATATAAATGTGACAATGAATGCACTTATCAAGCACAGTATTAGTAGGAGATGCTATATAATGTTAAAACCTGTTCCTGGTATCCTATTACTGGGTAGTTATGAAAAATAACTTGTTCTATGGTATTGCAAAATCTTCAACTACTTCCATCAACAGCCCTAGAATGCTGTTGTTCTGACCTCTCATTTGCATATTTTCAGTTTTTCTAAATATGCCCTTAATCCTGCCTTATCAATAGTTTACTGCCAGGATCTTCATTATTTCCCAACTGTCCTTGCTCCTTATCTTTATTTTTCTCATGTAAGATTTTTTTTAAAAGCACTTGAAATCTCAGCTAATTTAGAGCCACTTAGCTTCCAGCTCCCTCGTTGTTCTTTAACGGGTCACTTGTCCTTTTTCCACACTCCTCCTGCACAAAACATGTTTATAAAAACACACCCTCTTCCCCTTAGTTCCTTTGGCTGGCATTACATCATTCTGCCTTTTTCTCCCCTCCACCCTTGTGTTTTTCCTGAAAGTGTTCCCTTCCTAATGGTATTCACTCTCATCCCTGCCCCGTCAAATTCTTCATCAAGTTCAGGAGGAAGTTGCTCTTTTGATTTTCCCTGCTCTGGCCCAGCTAAAAGCACAGGGGGCACTGCGTTCTTGCTATTTTTTTGTCCTGTTTTCGTAACCCCTAAAGTCTGGCCCTGCAATGATGGCCTCTTTCATGTTATCTTTCTCTAGAGGCAACAGCTCTGCATCCTGGCAAAGGACACAATGGCAATGTCGGCCTTAGCTTAGCTTTTATGCCTTTTGTTTCAGCATGCAAGATTTCCTTATAGTTTGTTTGGGCTTTTTTTTAAGCTTATTTACCAATCCTGAGAAGTGCCAGATTCACAAGCCTGAGGGATAAAGGCCAAGTTTATATGTGGCTGAAAAGACTCCATCATGTCCAGGCCAATTTGATGTTCTGGGCCAACTGAGAGGCTGATTTGATTGCTGTGTGCTCTTTCCTGCTGTTTGCCAAAAGAGAGGCTACAAAAACAGGCCCAAACCACAGCTCACTGTCCTCTTTCATACAGAGAACAGGGCTGAAAATTCAAACCAGGACCTTCTCTTAAAATGAGCAGACTGCTGATTTCTCTTTTTAAAAACTAATGCCTCACTTATACTGTGTACTCAGCTCTAATCATTATTTGTTTACACCAAGTTTCCTTGCCTTAATTCAACATTGTGATGTGATTTTTAAACCTCACATTCCTGTATTTTGCACCAAGGCCCCATTTTATATGCTATTTTCGATGAAATACAGCATCTTTGAAAACATTTAAATCAAGACATGGGTTTTGTTTTGTTTTGTTTTGTTTTTGTACCAGGGATCGAACTCAAGACCTTGCACTTGTGAGGCAGGCAGCGGCATCACTGAGCTAAATCTCTGGCCTGACATGGGATCTTTTAAAGAGAGAGAATGTGTGATCTTCACGACAGACACACAAACAAGGCCCTTAAAGCATGAGTATACTGCAAGTTTACTTAATTATCTCTGACCAGAGCTGGACACCATGTTTGTTTCTTTGTCCCTGAGGCCAGTGTTGTCATCACCCCAGAAGCCCTGGAGAAGAGGCATAAAGATGCAGACAGATTTTCACAGAACTCACGTACATGGGCTCATGGAAGCAAAGGACAGGTTTGTTGTCCTGCCCTGTCAAAAAGCCCAGGGACTCTGGCTCTTGGAAGATGACATGTTGGTGCTGACTCTATAGTTTAGAGCCAGCTCTTCCCATACACAAAGAGGGAGCTTGGATCCAGTGATTTGAGAAGCCCTGACCCAGTGGCTTCTAGTAAGCCTGGCTCTGTGCTCCGGATTTGTGCTTTATGCTCACTCCTGTACATTAAGACAGTGTTTCCAGGAGTTGCTCCTTAAAATGTCCCATTCTCCTGAAGGTAGTTCACCTTCTGCCTGAAGTGACCAACTCTGTCATCTCTCCATCCTTGCTCTCCCACTGTCCATGTTCTGAGTCAGATGCCAGTGTCTCAAGGAGACCTGTTTAGTCCTCCATTAATGGTTTCATTTTTTTTCTAGGTAGACAGAACACAGTATCCATGTATGAAGCTTCCTCTCTTCTCCTATGTCATGACTGTCCTCAAGCGTCCCTTGATGTCAGCACCATGAGAGCAAGGGTTATGGCTGCTGCCCCTACTCCCTGCAACATGACTCATGCTAAATGCTGCTCTGTCCAGAATTTGTGCTCTCGAT